GGCTCAGTCGGTTAAGTGTCTGACTTCGGCTCAGGTCACGATCCCGGGGTCCTGGGATCGAGCCCCGCATCGGGCTCCCTGCTCAGCGGGGAGTCTGCTTCTCCCTCTGCCCCTCCCCCTGCTCATGCATGCTTGCTCTCTCTCGCTCGCTGAAATAAATAAAATCTTTTAAAAAAAATACAAAATAAAATAAAAACTGGGGATGAAACTCTGATCACAGGCATTTGCTTATTCATGTAACAGGTACTGGATGCACTAGGGAAGCAGTGGTGAGAGAACCAGACACGGCCGCCGCGAGAGTTACCCCATGAAACAACACAAGAGGCTTAAGAAAAAAATTCACAGTCGTGCCGAGAAGGCTGGAAAACAGCCCTGAATCCAGCGGTGATCTGGCCATTAGCTGTTCCTGCTGGAATTTCAAAAGCCCCTCACTTATGACTCAGAGCAATCCTCTAAGGAATATCAGCAGCCCCGTTCTTCCCTGGGGAAAGGGAGCTCCCGAGGGACTGAACTGTTCCGAGGTCACACTGCCAGAAGAGTTCTGGCTGAGGCTCAGGGTCCGGTGCCCAAGAGGTGGTGACGGGCAGCCTCTGGCCCCCCCCACGTCCCACCACTCACACTTTGCGGTCATTCAGCAGCATCCCGTTCATGGTGGCAATGGCCTGCTGTGCAGCCTCATGGGTCTCAAAGTGGACAAAGCCGAAGCCTCGGGAACCGTGATCATCACACACCACCTGGGCCACAGGGGAGAAGGAGGGGGTTGGGGGGGGGCCCCCACAGAGGATTCAGGTACAGAAGAATGGCAAAGGTAACAAATAACTACTATCTGAGCGCTTACTCTGTGCCCCACACAGAGTCCCTCCACGTTCCACTCCAGCCCGAGCTCTTCCACCCAGATTTAATCATGTTGACTGGGGCCCCACTCTGGGCCAAGCACCTGCTAAGGGGATCACATGCTTATCTTGTCCTATTTGCTATAAGAGCCCCTCCAGGCAATTCTTAACCTCTGAGCCCCCACTGCCTGATGGGGGAAAATGGAAATGAAGGACTAGTCCAAGGTCATTAGCCACCAAAGTTTTTGATTATGATAGCTACCACTTAGATGGTGAACAGGGTGCTGGGTGTCCTTTCAATGTCGTGAAGATTACCAGACTTAAAACACATGCACAACAAGCCTATGAGGTAGGTTCTACCACGGCCCCTAACTTTTAGAGGAAGCCAAGGTATGGAGAGGTTACTCAGCTGGTCCAAGGTCACAGTGCCAGGAAGTGGAAGAGGTGGAATTTGAACCCCAGACAGTCAGCACCAAAGTCCAAGATCCGACCGACTGTGTTGTGCTGACTTCTCAGTAGCTGGCCGGACTCCACGGGTTTAGTGCTCTTCCCACCCCGCTACAGAAACCTTTCCAGGGCAGCCCCGTGGAACTGGTTTCTATCCTGAGCCTCTGACTACACGGCTCACTAGGCTTCTCCCGCAGAGCCCAATTTCCAGCTTTTCCTAAAAGTCTCACCGTCTCCAACCAGTCTGAGAGCTCCCGGGGTAGGCCCCACACCGTGCGCCTTGCATCTAACCTGGCCCACCACCACAGTGGGTCCTCGGTTAGGCCTCAGAGACTCGCCCAGGTCACATCCAGCTTTCTGACCAATCCTCAGTGGCCCAGAGGAAGCCTCGAGGCCTGACCGCCCTGATGGCCTTAATTAGCAGCCTTCCGGTATCCATGCCCTTTATCCTGTCGTGTCTACTGTCCTCTCTCTCTCTGAATTTGGACTGGCCTTACGACTTGCTTTGGCCAACAGAATGCAGTGGAAGGAACGGCGGGCCAGTTCTGAGCTTACATCTCAAGAAGCCTGGTGAGCTTCCAGTCTCCTGGGACGCTGCCCTTGTCATGAGACTAGCCTGGGCTAGCCCACTGGAGGAGGAAAGACTGTAGGGAGAGAGCCGAGGTGCTCCAGCTGACAGCCAGCCACCTCTAGAAGCAGAGCCAGTCAGCTTGCAGCGGGCATATGAAGGAGCCAGCTGAGAGCAGAAGTGCCCAGCCAAACACAGCTCAGATTGCCAACTGCAGAATTATAAGCTAAAGAAAGCCTTGTTGTTGACAGCTCAGCAAGGTGTGAAGCAGGGTGCTGCTTGGGATCCTTCTGCCACATGGGTATTTAACACAGACCCTCCCCCGCAAGGACACACACCCACCTTGCAAGAGAGGATGTTCCCAAAGGTGGAGAAGGTGTCATATAAGGCCTTGTTGTCAATGGAGTCCTCCAGGTTCTTGATGAAGATGTTGCCCACACCCGACCTGCGGAGTCCTGGGTCTCGCTGGGACCACATGATGCGGACGGCCTGGCCTTTGATCACTTCAAAGTTCATTGTGTCCAGTGCCCGCTCCGCTGGACCGGGGTGGGGGGATGGGGAGGAGGAGAAAAAGGAGCAAGTAAGGGTATTTCTTTCCCTGAGCCCCGAGGTGCTTCATTGGAAGCAAAAGAGGGAAAAAAAAAAAAAAAAATCACTGTCTGGGTCTCACTTGAGAGAAGAACCTGGAGCCTCAGGGGAGATATGCGGAAAGAATTAATGTGCGGCACGCTCCTCCCACCTTCCCATTGGGGTCTCATTCAGCTCCTCGCAAGAGCCGCGTGAGCATGGATTCCTATCCCCACTTCACAGAGGGAAAACAGAGGCTGGGAAAGGGGGAGGGTCAGTGGCGGAGCAAGGTCTACTGCGGTTTTCGAAAGCACACCAAGTAGATGAAAACATAAAGGAGAGCCCATAAGACGAAGAGTGGCAGCAGTTAGGGGAAATCAGAGCTCAGAGGTACCGAGGAGCAGAGTTGAGACTCAATCCCAAGTCGTAGGGCTCTGGGGGAGAACACCTCTCTGAGCTGCTTTCTTCACCTGTGAAGTGGGGATGAGGAGACAATTACCCCCTTTCCACATCCAACAAAGGGGGATAATACTATCTTCCTCCAGGGGGTCGGACAGGTTGAAAATTAAATAAGATACACAAGATGCCTCACACTTTGTGCCTGGCACAAAATAGGAGTTTGGTAAATGGTAATGTGTCTGAAAACAGCAGGCTACGCCCATCCTCCTGCCACTGCTAGAGCCTGTTCCCTCCCAGTGAAGAGGCAAAATCCTTTCTCTTCCCTGGAGCTCCATTTATCTCATCTGTGAAGTCTGGCAGAAAGGTCAGAGCGTGCAGGGCTTGGAGGAAGAGGTTAGAGGCAGTGGTGGGTAAAGCAGAGCAAAGGAGAAGGCTCTCTGGAATCCAGCTCAGGCACCTGCTGGGAAACAGGCAGAACCACCCCAGCAAACCCTTGTTTGGGAAACCTTCCCACCCACCCAGGGTGTTTTACCATGCACCAAAGGATACTGGAAATACTTCACTGACACAGCTCACTCCTTCTGTGCTATTGGGGAATAAGCCTTAGCCTCTTTTCACAGACGGAGAGGTGTGGAGTTTCGTGAACTCTTGCTCAAGTTCACACCCTGGCGGCAGAGCTTTAGGAAAACCCAGTGCTCTTACTTTTTATCCTCTCCACTGTCACAGAGAGTGTGGCCATAACCACCCAAGAAACTCTAATCAATCCTATCAGCTCTGAGAAACCGGTTTTGGGGCCTGGAGTGGAGACCAGATCTGGTGCAAACTCAGATCTCGCAGCTGGGAAAGGCGCGAGCCCAAGGCCCGGCTCTCCTGGCTTCCCCACTCATCACCTGCATCCTCACCAGGTGCTTTGACTTTCTCATCCTCCCAACCACTCTATAAAGGCAGGTACGCTCCCCATTTTTCAGACAGGCAACTGAAACTCAGAATGGCTGAGTAATTGCTCAAAGTCACACAGCTGCCGCCTTGCTAATCCGAGGTCGGCCCGACCCCAAAGCCCTTGGTTGGCTGTTTTCACTCAGCCTAATTATTTGTCCTCTGCAAGACGGAGCACCAGTAAAACCCACAGTAGGCGCACGCTAATTGCCCGTTCCCGTCTCAGGGCGAGGGCCCCTTCCAACGCCCTCTGGGCCTCAGTTTCCCTGGCTGCAAAACGAGCCAGAGATGCCAGCGCAGGCCCCGAGCTGCTGTCGGTCGGCCCGGGCGTCCGGGTGTCCGTGCGTCCGTCCCCCCTCCCCCGAGCTCACCGTCGGCGGGCTGCTGGAAGTTGACGTAGGCGTAGCCCAGCGAGCGGCGGGTGGCCACGTCGCGGCACACGCGGATGGACAGGATGGGGCCGGCGGGCGAGAACTTCTCGTACAGCATGGCCTCGGTCACGTCGGGGTGCAGGTCGCCCACGTAGAGCGAGGCGAGCGGGTAGCCCGGGCCGCTGGCGTTCATGGTGCTCGCCGAGACGCCGCGGCGGGGCTCTCGTCCCGAGCGGCCGCCCCTCCCTTTAGCCCCCGCCCCGCCCCGCCCCGCGCCCCACCTGGGACCCCTCAGCGCTCCAGGAGCCCCAGGTGGGGCCTCTGGGACCCCGCCTCCGGAGGCGGGGCGCGCCCTCAACCCCGCCGCGGGTCGGGCTGCGGGGACGCGGGTCAGGGACGGCCCGAGACTTGTTCCAGTCCCGAAGGTCATTGCCTTCTGGGCCCCTGGGTCCATTTCCCTTCTCAGTAAAACCGGGGCGGCGCAGAGGGGAGCCGGTGCATTCTGGGCGTCTCACAGACGAGGAGAATCCTGAGCCCGACCCCCAGTTTCAAAGCTTGCGCCCCTTGCCTCCTGAAAGGAGTCTTTTTCTCAAGATAGCCCAAATCCAGTACCCGCTCTGGAACCGGCCTTATGACCTGGGACTGACTGCTCCACTTGAGAATTCGAGACCAAGGCCTTCCTTGACACTGACTCTCATATCACCAAGGGATATTCCTGGCCCACTTTTTTTTTTTAAGAGAGAGAGGCGGGGAGGGGCAGAGGAGTGAGAGGAGAATCCTAAGCAGGCTCCACGCTCAGGGTGGAGCCCAACACAGGGCTCTGTCCCACAACCCTGAGATCATGACCTGAGTGGACATCAGAGTCGGATTCCCAACCCACTGAGCCACCCAGGCGACCCCCACCCCACCCCAACTTTCTTTTGACTAAGCCATTCCACCTGCATTCCATCAGGAAGCTGCAGTTACTGTATGGGGACAGAAGGGACCTCACAGCACAAGGCTGTGGCAGTAGCCCCAAGGTGCGCTTGCAGCCTCAACCTACCGGTGGTGTGGAGGCACCTGGAAGAAAGTTGCAATGCGCTGTGAGCCAGTCGTACTTCCCAGTATCTCCCCTTGCCCCTCACAGGGACTCCCCCGGTTCCCTACTGCAACGAAGCAGGCAGGCTCCCACTGACCTTGCTTGAGTGTGGTTTCCACAGGCGGAAGAGCTCTGAACTAGTCTGGTTGCTCAGCTTCCATGCAGTAGCAAGCAAGCGCCACTTATTCTAATCTTGGGCTGAAAAATAACCCTCATTTCTTCCCTCTCCTTATGGGAGTGTGGAAGTTTTCAGAAAGGGGACAAATGCCATGAGGAAACAGTGCTGCGGGCTCCCAGAAAGTGTTAGGACGGCGGACAGTCTGGTAGAAGCCTGCGGATGCCCAAGCCTTAGGCAAGCATCTCTAACAGGCTTGGTTACACCTCAGGGTTAAAAAAGGGTGCGTGCGTGCGCGCGCACGCGCATCTTGATGGGATGCAAAATAACTGTTCGTAGCAAATCTTCGAAGCTACAAGAGGACCTAACACCTGGATGGTCTGTCGTGCAGGGTGGAGAAGCGTCCCCTAATAGGTGGAGAGTGGCTGCTTATTAATGGTAATTTCTTCCCCTTTACAACACCTTGACTTCTGGTTCTAAATAGGATGAAATAAAGATGTTCCCTACTTTTAAAGAAAGAGGAGAGCCACGAGTGAGTGTGACCAGAAGAGGTAGCTGGTCCTGGCAGTGACAGAGATGGCGCCATACATCCGTTCACAGGCAACTGATAAAATTTTTTATTTCGCTTTTGAATTTTTACACTTTTCCTGATTATTCCGTGTTAAGGAGGGAACTAGAACTTTTAAAAGACATACACAAATCTAGTACATCAATAACCGGGGATTTTTCTTTTTCTTTTTTTTTTTTGGCTATACTATTTTCACAACCACAGGAGTGCTTGCTAGGCAATATGACCGTCACAGAAGCAAACGTGAGGCAGAATACTGGTAAGGAAAAACGGAAGCAAGAAAGAGCTACCAGATATACAGACAGGCTCGCTCCACATTCACGACTGCATTTTCAAGCGCCAAGTATTAACTGCACGTTTTTGTTCAGCTAGAAAGGGGGGAGGGATTTTTTTTCTTTTTTTTTTTGGTTTTAAATCAGTGCATGAATGTTTCTTTTCTCATTTCAGCAGATGGACAAACAGGTGGACACTACAGCTACGTGGAATGTTCAAGGGAGAGGGGGTACTGTGAGACTGGTAGGCCTGGCTATTCTGGACTGTCCCCACTGCGGTGTTCATGCAACTTCCCTGCATTATAGGGTCTTGTTCAAACAGGTCTGTGAACTTGGCTGGAGGAGCACACTTGGGAGATCTGGTGACAGGTACTAACAAGCGTCATCAGGGCTGGCTGCAACACAGGGAGAAATCATGGGTATTTAAAAACACTTCTTTGATTCAATCTCGGTCTGACTGAAGAGCAAAAAGCGTGCCGAGAACCGGAGGAAGCCAGAGCTGTGTGCTGGAAGCCCTTCTCACCTCTCTGAAGCGAGGCCTGCTGACCAAAGTGCTCGCCATCTTTGCTCACCCCCTTCAGGCCCCCATCCTGCCCAAACAGTATTAAACAAAGAACAGAAGACAACGACAGAATTCAAAAAGAAAAAAATGTTAAGGAAACAGGACAGAAACTTAAAGAGGGAAAAAAAAAACCAAAGTCAACAGTCAAAAAGGACAGTGGGAAGAATGTTTGATTTCAAAATTTAAAAGCCCCAAGCTAGGAAGCACCCAAAGACTGAGTACTTCTTAAGTGAAAGGCAATCTCTGCAGAACATGACTCTTAAAGGTATTACCCAGGAAACAGATAAGGCCATTCATGAGATACACGGCTTTTTTCTTCTTCAGGTCCTGGTTACAAGGAAAACAGATTCCACTACTGGAGCACAAGTTGCAAATCAGTACGATGGCTGTGGGAAAGGGGTGTCAGTCACGTGTTCTAGGAACACTGGACCTTTGCATGGTGTCAAAACCCAATTATCTGCCACAAAGAGTTTCCATTTCAGGCTTCGAGTATACTCAGAGGAAGACACTGTGGACATCTGCAGTCACGAACTTTCGAGTGGCAACAGCCCAAACTGGCCAAGTGTCTGTAATCCCCAAAAAACAGGCAGAACTACTGTGAGTTGCTGTCACACTTGAATGTCACAGGACAGGTGTCTCACTCCACGTCCCAATATAATCTCTATAACTTTCTGTACAACTTTACAATGGAACTGTTATTTCAGTGACTAGTTTGATATCAGA